CCTTCAACATGTCTACTTATCAGATTAAAAGCACTTCCTGTGCCGTTCACAGAGACGTTCAATCTTATATACTCACTGTTCCTGGCACTTAATTTTTTATTATACATTACAGTTACAGTTTCTTAAAATATGCGAATTTTTCTTAGATTCAGGAGGTAAGTGCTTTAAGACTAATATTTTGTGTAAATCGTAGACACCCCTCCCAACCACTGTTTGCTCAGGCAAGTATTCTTAGTGTTTATCAAGTGAATCAACTTCAAATAGCTTTATTCGTTTATAGCTCTATAAAAAAGTTACTTCCCCAGCACTTTTTTAATGGTTTTACTTTTAATAACGAATTTCACCAGTATCCAACTCGTAATTTGTCTTATCAGGCCTCCTTACTCTTGTATAACTCAAACACAGTTTAGTTTAGTGCTGCTACTAAGTTGTCTGAACTTTCCATATGGAGTTTTGGTCTAAATGATATTTTAAATTGTTGTATACAAAGAAACGGTGTTGTTTGTTTTAGTTTTTTTTTTAATTTATTTTTTTTACACAATATCATATAGATTATGGAGGACCAACTCTGCCATAATTAAAAATAAATACAGAAATAAATAAATGCTCAATAAAAGGGCAGGCAGAAATGTAAAATATATATATATATATATATATATATAAAGGACAAAAAAATAAATAAGGTAAATATTACAAAAGCAAATAAATAAAGTAGCTAATTAAAAGAGTTATATACATTTATGTCTCACTGTATAATTTAATTTCTACTTGCATTTATTTGTTTATTGTTTTTTTGTTGGGAATTAATTGCATGCTTATATATTTATTTGGCATTTATTTATTTCTGTATTTATTTTTAAATATGGCAGAGTTGGTCCTCCATATTATAGATGTCTGAAATGGTGAAATATATTTGTTTTTGTGGAGACTGCCACTCATTAAGCCCCTTGAGGGTTTTTCGGCAGTTGTCCATCACTTTTTCTTTTTTAGTGACACATTATTCTGTTTTTATGCTTTTGTTGTGAAAATAAAATATATAAATAAATAAATAAATAAAAATAAAAGTGAGACACTTTGCCAATGGAAGAAGACAATTAACATTTAAAATAAGACAATTGCATTGTCTTATTTCAAGTGCATATTACCTATTTATCTTATTAAGATTAAAAATACCCATTCCATTTGCATTAGATTTTAAGCGTACATTAAGCGTACATTGTACTTATTTCTAGATCGTTTCTGCGGTGCAGGGAAGATTACTCTGCAAAACCCATCTAGAAATAAGTAAAAATTTCTTAAATTAAGTGTCTTTGGCCTTAATTCAAGTACGTAAATAAGATTATTTGCCAATGAAATTAGTTTTCTTCCTCTTAAAATAACACAATTTGATAATATGCACTTAAAATAAGGCAATGTAATAGTTGTTTCTTATTCTAAATGTGGCAAAGTGTCTCACCTGCTCAATAAAAAAACAGTTATTTTAAGGAAAAAAAAATCACTTATTGACATTTACATTTTTTGCAGTGTATTGCTTCATATTTGAGCAAGAGTTTTAACTTTAAAAGAAGCTGTTTCTAGAAAATGTGAAGGATGGAAACAAAAGCAGGGACAAAGAAAGACCAAATAGTTGAGCTCGATTACTGAAAGTTAAATCCACACCAAGGAATTGTGATCTTTTTTTTCCTAGACCTGTCAGTCTGAGTCCTGCTCAGATCGTTCCCGTCCTGGAACAGGTTACAGCAAGAGCAAAAAGTAGACGGGCTGATGTCCGATCCAAAGCGCAGCCATAGCTCTTTACTGATCGACAGTCAAAGTCTGAGAGCAAACCTTAAATAAAGAGCCAGGGGCCTGAGAGGCTGCACCTGGACTCTTTGAGTAAAATTCCCCTTCCTATAGGCATAAGCAGGAATATTGTACATGTTTCGCAAATAGTTTCTGCACGCCAAACCTGTCAAAAAAGAATGTGACGTAAACAGTGAAGAGAAACGTGAGAGGTGCACAAGATTTGATTTAGTGAAAAGCTTGTTGTTCATGAACCTCATGCAACCAGCAGCTGATTTCTGATCTTTCTTACCCTTTTCTTGACAGGTTTTGCCCCAATCAGTGGCATGTGCAGTAAGTACAGGAGCTGTACCATCAATGAGGATACAGGGCTGGGCCTGGCTTTCACCATCGCTCACGAGTCTGGACACAAGTATGGTTCAAAAATGCCATGAGAGACTCAACATCTTAACACATTGTTATTGACAATCTTAGAGTCATAAGGAAGTCATATTTAAATGTCAAATCATTCTGGCTTAAACATGTATATAAATGTATTCTTTATATATTAAAAAATCCTATCTTAAAATCTGTTTTTTTTCCGTTATCTTCTGCAGGCCAGTTAGTTCTACCTCAGCCTGAACACCTAAATTAAGCCAATCATATATCAACGGTCATCTGTCAATCAAAT